GTCTCCAATCAGGTAAGTACCACAGTCTCGTATCACCGAAATCCAACCCTGATCTCTGTCCAACTGGATAGTCTCCAATCTGAAGAAGAAGAAGAAGAATAAGAAGAAGAAGAAGAAGAAGAAGAAGAAGAAGGAAGAGGAGAGAGAGAGAGAGGAGACTGGCCAGGGGAGGAGGAGAGACCCTCCAAGCTCCCGGTACCTCAGGCGGCAATGGCCGCCATGCTGGCTCAGTCGCCCTGCTGTTGCGCTATGCTGCGCTCTTGCTTCAGCCCCTGCGCAAAGTTTAGCGCATCAAAACAGTACGCTGGTACTGACCATGCCGTGCCGGTAGAGTTCCGGTAGGCCGATGCCTCAACTGAGGCGGGTACCGGTACTTATACCGGTAGGCAATGGTCTGGCCTCAATGCTGCGAGGCCAGGCCAGACCCTGGACCGTCCAGATGGACGGTTCAGCCTCAATCGGCGGGCGGCAGCTTYAAGAGCGCCGCCAGGCCCAAACGAAGTGTCGTTTGGGCCTACCCGATGGGTGMTRGTCCAAAATCRGGCCTTTAGGGCCTGTAACCCAAAAAAGGTCGGGCCTTTAGGCCCTGGTGTGTCCCTCCGGCCCTAAGTCGGGTCCGGTAGGACCCGTGTGAGTCGAAGATGTAACACGTGGCTTTCTGCTAGATCTGGGGAGTCCCCTGGATTCCGCATCCTGTCTTCCATAGCTGCCGCGAATATGCTCGTGGCGTCAGGCCGTGTGTGTTGACTTTAGTCATCACGTATGGAAGCAGCGGAGACTTGTCTCTGTGAAAGCTAAGTGTGTGAATCGGGGAGCGTTAATTACTTACGGAGTATTATCCTGTATTTCTGCGGCAATGCAACCGTTGAAATGGCCGAGCGTCTGATTGGAGCAGCGAGTCGGTTGCAGTGACGTGTCAAATGTATAGGAAAGGGCGTTTAAGGATGCATCATATTCGTTGTTTTCAGTGACAAATCACATGTGCAGGTCTCGGTGCTAAGAAATGGCGTTTAAAGATGCGCCACATTTGCATGATTTCAAATTGGTGTGAGAGAGAGAGAAAGAGAGAAAGAGAGAGAGGGAGAGAGAGAGGGAGAGAGAGAGAGAGAGAGAAGGAATGCGATTGCTGCTAGGGGGGCAGAAGAAGCATTTTTCTCAGCGGCAGTGGTACTGGCATGATTTGGGGCATGTCGTAACCTCTGCGGCAATAGTACCTACATGTATACGGGTGGTGTGAGTCGACTAGTGTCACATGTGCAGGTCTCGGTGCTCAGAGATGGCTTTTAAGGATGCATCACATTTGCAGTGAGAGAGGGAGAGAGAGAAAGAGAGAGAGAGGGAGAGAGGGAGAGAGAGAAAGAGAGAGAGAGGGAGAGAGGGAGAGCGAGAAAGAGAGAGAGAGGGAAAGAAGGAGAGAGAGTGAGAGGGGGAGGGAGCGAGAGAGAGAGAGAGAGAGAGAGAGAGAGAGAGAGAGAGAGAG